GCTCTGGTGATGACCGGCCCCGGCGCGAGTACCGCGAGAGGCGCGATGATCGCGGATACAGCAGTGCAGCTGGACGGCTTATTTGTTTTTTTGTTTAAGTTTTAAGTTTTAAACTATAATAGATAATGGTTATAGTTTGCTTTATGTATGTTTGTTAATTTCTTATGTTTCTATAACAGAAATAAATAGTTTGTGGTTTGGTGTGCATGTTCTTGCAGCAGCTCAGGCTTCCTCGGACCGGCGCCATGGCTACGGCGGGAAGGGTGCAGGGAGGAGCTTTGCAGGGAGGGGCGCGCGGCCGCCGATGGACCCCAATCGGGGTGGAGCCCAGTCCAAGGTGAGCATGCTTATCAATGCTCACCGGACGAGTGGCTGGAGTCGGGAGCTCACGGAGCTGGCAGAGCAGATGCAGGCTTCCTTGGATGAGCGCCGTGACGCTATAGAGCCCGGTTCCTGGGCTGACAAATTGTTTCAGCTGTGCCATGCAATTCTTGAGGATGAGAGCGAGGAACGCTTTATGGAGCTGGTGGAGCGCTATCTGGGCGCTGACTCGTTGCGCCAGGCGGTGAGCAACAGGTACTGGCAGTCCTGGCGCCGGGGCGGGTACGAGCGCTAGGCGCTGGTGGCGAGTGGGCGCATGCCGCCGTTGAGTGCAATGGGCGCTTGACGCCGCTAGGTGTAGGAGCTTCTCACAGCTGCCAGCAGCACACACATGCGGCCCGGTTGTAGGGTTATTAGGGTTTTAACCCTATATGTATACATGAGAAATAATAAATTAGGTTAGGTATACGTACATATAATATAGTTTAGAAAGGGCTGCATGTGTGTGCCGTGATGCCAGTACAGACGGGTGTGCCTCGTCCACCGACAAAAAGAGAGTGAGTGTAGGGTTTAGGGTTTAGGGTTTAGGGTTTAGGGTTTAAGGTTTAGGGTTGAGGGTTGAGGGTTTAGGGTTTAAAAGGGGTCAGGGTTTAGGGTTTAGGGTTTAGGGTTTAGGGTTTTGGGTTTAGGGTTTAGGGTTATATAGCACCTAAACTACACAAATCACGCCGATTCGCAACTAAACCATAAACTCTGAACCCTGAATCCTAAACCTTAAACCTTATATAGTGTTCATTGCACAATCTGATGGAATACCGTGGTGCTTATAAGGATGGTTTATGGTTTAGGGTTTAAGGGTTTAGAGTTTAGGGGTTTAGGGGGCTGGGGGCTGGGGGCTAGGGGCTGGGGGCTAGGGGCTGGGGGCTGGTGGGGTCAGGTGATGATGAAATGTTGCGTTATAATGGGTGGATATTTGTGTTTTGGGACTGTATAGGTGTGCTTTGGTGGTGCTTCATGTAATGATGTGTGACATGAGCCAAATATTCAGAATTTATAAACATAAATTATCATTTATTTTTTGAAATTCAGAATTTATAAATATAAATTGTGATTTAATTTTTGTAAATTCAGAATTTATAAATATAAATTGTGATCTAATTTTTGGAAATTCCGAATTTATAAATATAAATTCTGATTTTTTTTTTGAAATTCAGAATTTATAAATATAAATTCTGATTTATTTTTTTGAAATTCAGAATTTATAAATATAAATTCTGATTTAGTTTTTGAAATTCAAGATCTACACATACAAATTGCGATTTTTTCTACCCCAGCACCGAACAGCACCGCCCAGCCTGCCCCGCCGGCCCCAGCCCCTCCCGCCCACACACACCCAACCCAACCTCCGTACCCGCCACAACACTGCCCACCCACCCACGCCACCACGCACAGCCCCCCACCCACCCCCACCCCCACCCCCACCTCCACCCACCCCCTCCCCCCGCCCACCACCCCCGCCCAGTGGCCCCGGCCCAACCCGCCCCCGCCACCCAGCATTGCGGACGGCGGCGGCAACAACCGGAGCAGCAAACACGCACACACACACACACACAAACAAAAAAAAAAACAAACAAATTGCAGCGCACACAAACACTCACAGTAGCAGCACAACCAGCTTAAGAAGCCCAGCGAAAACAATAACGCGGAAGCAGCAGCACAGGCCACAGAAGCCGGAAAGAAGGCAGCAACGGCGGCAGCAACGCCAGCAAACAAGCCCCGGCGGCGGCAACAACAGCAGCATGCAAAGGCTCACTCACAACCCCCCCCCACAAACATGTTTCGCAGCAAATAAAAACCAACAGCAGCAACAACAAATAAAACAAACCAAACGAGGACAACAACGACTGCAACGGCCGCGGCAGCAGCAGCAAAGGCCACAGCAGCAACGCCAGCAAGCAAGCCCCAAATCCCCACCCCACACAGACCACCCCCCACAACCCAACACACAAACTCCCAAACCCCAAGCCCCAAAGCCCAAAGCCCAAAGCCCAAAGCCCAATGCCCAAAGCCCGAAGCCCAAAGCCCAAACCCCCAACCCCAAACCCCAAACCCCAAACCCCAAACCCCCAACCCCCAACCCCAAACCCCACACCCGAAACCCCAAACCCCAAA